TCAAATAATAATATAGTTGATTGACCAAATAATCTTCATTTGTTGTTACGTCAAACTTCTTCCCTATGGAGCGAATCATTGAAAACGAAAAAAAAGAATGAAGAGGATTCAGGATGACAGTATGACAAGTAAATACCAGAGTAATGGTATTTCTTTTTCACACCAAGGAATGATTGAATCCGGCCCCCCACCCCACACCCACACACACAAAAACACCACCCACAAAAACAAAAAAATGAAGAAGATTCTGGATGACAGTATGACAAGTAAATACCAGAGTAATGGTATTTTTTTCATCAAGAAGGGCTTTACCTGGGTATCATGAACTTCACTTTTCAATTCCTGGGCAAAAGTTCATTGTTCTGTAACTGTCTAATACACAAGCGAACGATAAGAGCAACATAAGCAAATTAGCAATACATATATAAATAGAGAGACTGATATGATTTAAGTTCTACCAAAGACAAAAGTACCTTAAAAAAACCATCTACTGAAACAGAAACCTAGGAGAGTTCTCCTCCACACGGACACGAGCCAATACTAAATGTGACAGTTTCTTTCTTTTTTAACTACTTTTATTCCTTACATCTCCAAACTTTGTCTATCATCAGGAACCCACTACCCTAAAGATTAACAAGGCCAGTGAAGTGGCCACTTCAATGAGAGTAGAGTTGCATACATGGTTATTGGACCAACATCTGGAAGAAAGCATTCACGCACTCTCAACTGCCTGAATTTCGCACCTTCTGCTTCCCCGACCTGTCATGTTTTGTCCCTTCCTTGCGCTTCCCCCTTCCCTTTCTGTTTACTGCTCCCAGCTGCACCTTTTGAGCTTGTCTTGCTACAAGTTCCTACTGAATCCACATCAGCGAGGCCATTCTCTAATGCTCTAACCAAGTTCTCAAAGTAATTCTTGTCACAGCCGTCAAACCTGTTAACTTTGTACGAAAATCATTGAAATCATCAGAAGGTTTTTCTGCTTTGAGGTAAGTCTCCAATTCCTTCTCTGCACACTGATGAAGCCTTTCCAAGCCAACCTCTGCCTCACCTTGCAAGTACTCGAAAAACCGCCTTTTGGTGTCCCATTCTCGGGTAGGTAGTATCCATAAGCATATGTCCACTTTAGTACTCTCCTACATTCCACTATCTGAAGCCAAGCATCAGTAATGAACTTCAACTGCGTCTCAGGTTGGCACTGTATTTCACTTAGCCTCACAAGATGGTTAGTTTGCATTTGGTGCAAATCTATTAAAGCTTTTAGCCTTGACTTTTGGTTGGCAGCCCACCGCTCGTAATAATGTGTATATCTCTCCAAAGATTTCCTGGCCATTTCCCTCCTCCTTTCAGTCTCATCAACTGCTCCTTCTTTCTTGGTCACGCTGAAACCGTTACAAGCATAGCCACCTGTTCCCCTACCATGTTCTCTCCATGAACCGAGACACAGCCAGAAAACTCAAACCACAAGGCGACCTGCAAGTCATATGCATACAGCCATGGTTCTTCTCAATTGGTCTCTTGCATTTGACAAGGCTTGGTGTAAGCCAAAATCCAGTTAGTGTTCTCGGACTCTGCATTGTTTTTCAAGATCCACTTGGCCACAGTCTCACAATCCACGGGGCGATGGGCATCCTCAGTACAATTCCAACAAAATCCGTACGAGCAATTGCAAGTAACATCATGGTTGCCACTCCCAACCACAAATTCAACCGCACACTCACACTCTGGACCAGGACACCACTTAATTTTCCTATTATCCTCTATGTAAGATCGAACAAGATACCTGCGGTACTTCTCCTTAAATTCACGGGTAACCAAATCATCAATCATATTTTGACCTACAGCTGCATTGCAAGAAGGTCAGGACACCTTAAAGTCACGCAACCAGGGCCATCGTTAATGGCGTTATTTATATACCCTTGCCAACATGCACGACAGAAAGGATGCCACATGCAGCAGCTCTGATCTCACAGAACGAATAGCTATCAAAACAAATCCCACAGGTTACCTCCTCATCGGCTGAAAATTGAACGATCGGCTCCTCCAACAAGCCAACAGCCTTGCGGACCCTTCTTCGTCTGAGAACCACTCTTCGTGCACAGTGCTCACACTCCAATTATAACGGCGTAGCAGTAGGCTTGCTACTTCTCTGGATACAGAGAGAACAGTGGATACTTAGTGATGTCATCCTCTTGACGACATCGTATGTCTTCCTCCTTCAAGATGGTATAATTCTTCTGGCTTTGCTGACTGTGTAGGAGATCATCGGAGTCGTTACTGATGAAGTCGTAATCCGGTGCCGAATCAGAGTTGAACCCGCAGTCTTCGTCACTGTCCATGGACGACATGGGGTGTCGCTGTTGCCGCCACCGTAAAGTCATCATCATCATCCCCTGAATCCACATCGATCACGTCGTGCCAATCGCCTTCCAGATACCCCATAATTCACCGAATTTTGGACCTATAAATTATTAATAATTCACCTAGCAATTGAAGAGCAAAACATCAACTTCAAAAACGCAAAATTAAAGGACAACGAAAGATGAATAGATAAAGGAAAACCCCTAGTAAAACCCTAGCATTGGGTCTGAAGATCGGAGCAGGGGTGCTTGCGGACGATGATGGGTAATTAGGTCAGGGTACAAGGAGATCATCGTCACTTCAGCAGAAATACACATGGGAAACGTCGTAATCAAGTTGAAAGAAGGTGTTTTTGTTTTCGTTTTTTTGGGGAGGAGGGCGGGGGCAGGGAGGTCTCTGTGTCTCTGTGTGTGTGTGCGTGGATACTATGTTGGAAGGTGCAACCGTGACGGAGTGGGCATCTGTGAGGGTGGCACTAGCTGTTACTACTTTTTCCGCGAAATTATACCAAAAGCTTGGTACAAATTCTTGGTTTTCATTCGCTTTTCTTTGTTTGGACCCGGACAAAGTAGGTTTCCAGATTTCTAATTTGATACTTAAAATACCTTTTGTCCAAAAAAACAATATATAATTGCCACACTACTATTTTCAATTAACAACTATTGGGGTTGTGCTCTTTTAATATTTTCAGGAATTGAGAACTTGGGAGTTCATTGAAATTTTGGAATGAAAAGGGATTTTAAAACAATTTGTTTAAGTTGCTTTTTAGCGTAAAAAAGTAGTATAGTAGCATGGCACAAGTGCTGCCATCCGTCAAAAAATTGTTCATCTCAAAACTTCTCTTAAAGTTTGGTTAAAGTTGCAATTAACCTCTTTATTCATTTCTTTTCACTTTACTCCCTATTCAATCCAATTAATCAAGTTAACTATCAAAATATTTGAGTTGCAAAAATGCCTTTCTACATTATTCATAAGGAAAGGTCATCACATATTCTTAGATGTTCAAATCATATGGTTTGATTTTTGTCATCGAATAATTATTTATTTGATAAAATAAATTGAAAACAATATTACTTTTTTTTTTTGACAGAATCACCATGCATGTAATTACGTCAAGTTAGTAGATCCTAAACTTTGAGAAAAATATTGAGAAGTATGTGCTATATTGAATCAAGGGTTGTGGAAAAAAAAAAGTAAATTTTACACCATATCACATATTTCTTTTGCCTGATTGCCATATAGCACATATTTCTATTCCTTTTATTACAAAGTTTAGGGTTTACCCACTTTAAATAATTACAAGCATGACAATTATATGCAGAAAAAGAATACTAATATTTCCATTTATTTTATCCAAAACTTAAAAACAACAAATATTCTATGGTAAAAAGCATATATTGTAATTTGAACATCTAAAGAATCTTGTCAGAGTTTCTCTTATAAACTATGCACAAGAGTGTTTTTGTTCAACTCAAATATTTTAATAGTTAATGAGTTGGATAAAATAAAAGGTAATAAAAGTGAGAAGAAATAAATATTTGGGGGGTAAACTATAATTTTGACCAAACATTTAGGGAGTTTTTATAATTAACTCTTGACTTTTTTTTTCCTGTTTAAGAGTAAAGTAGTATAGTACAAATTGTCATCTTTCTTAAAACTTGAATTGTGGGGCTTAGCCGTAAAAAAAAAATGCTTCTTTATATTACCCTTTTCAAATGTTACTGTGTATTATGGTTTCCAAGAAAAGTTTGTATGAAATTAAGATAATTAGTGTAGTACAGTGTTATATGAGTGAACAAATTCACTTGCATAGCTTTAACAAAACCAATATACACCAACGTTCAAATGTATAAATTGGCAAGCAACGGATAAGCAAAGGAGAGCTTCAGTTGCGTTTCTTCCTTCATATCTCCTTTAGCCCATACCAATAGTGTTTTGAAAAACTGGATTAGATTGGTCGGTTCGATCAATTGAACCGCGAATCGAATGTCTTCAGCTTGGTCAATGAATAATTTAAAGAATCAATTGAATCGGTCAATTTGGTTAAAATCGATTGAACTGGTGTAGCTGAAAAAAATCGAGAGGTTCAATTGATTTGTTATTAAATTTTTATTTTTTAAAATAAATAATTTAGTTTTACTCAAAATTTTTATTACTAAATAAATAAAAAATTATTAAACATTTAAACCAAAATTGAACCGATCAAACCGTGAATCAAAGGTATTTTGGCTTATTTTTCGGTCCAAAATTAAAAACATTGCATACCAATCGCAACTAGGATAATAGGGTGCCTATTTGTCTTATATTTTTGGTTTAATTGGAGCCGCAATCAAACTAAACAAAGCATCTTTAATAAAGCTATAGCAAAATTTTTAATAAAGCAATAGGATTACTAGTTACGGTCCCCTTTGTTTTAAGTCAAATATTTTTTTGTCTGCAATGACAATTATCTAACCTATCCTATTATGTGGAGAAGTTTAATGAAGCTTGTATGAGTTTTTTTTTTTTGAGTCAAATACTTTTTTTTTTTTTTATAACAACAACTATCTAACATATTCCTATTATGTGGGAGGAATCTAAGGAGATTTGAACGAGGATTGATGGTGAAACACCAGACCAGAAGAATAAGAGGTATTTGTTGAGGAATCTAAGAAGGTTTGTAGGGTTGAGGGTGAAATACCAAATCAGACAAGAAATGATACTTTATAACTATCTAACTTATTCCTATTCTATGGATGAGTTTAAAAGGGCAACTTGTTGAGGAAATCTAAAGAGGTTTGTATAAGAGTTGAAGGGTGAAACATTAGACCAAGATGTACTTTACAATTATCTAACCTATTTCTATGTTATGAAGGAGTTTAAAAAGGCTTGTATGAGAGTTGAGGGGCCAGACACCAGACCAAACAAGAACAAATGTACTTTGTAACTATTAACAATTCTTATTTTATGGATAACAAGATTTACTTTGTAACTATCTAACCTATTGTTATTTTATGGATGAGTCTAAAATTGCAAATATTTAACCTACTACTACCTTATGCAGGGGTCTAAAAAGGCTACTTATTTGGGGAGTTTAAGCAGGTTTGTATAAGGGTTGAAGGGAGAAACGTAGATCAGATTAGAATAACTGTATGGAGGAGTCTAAAAAGATTTGTACGAGGGCTGAGGGGTGAAACACCGTATAAGAACTGTACTTTTTGTGTGATGTATTAGACAGCATTTGAACATTCGACTTAATACATAGGAGAGTTTTGAAGGGGTTCTTCCTTGCCATTGGACGAAGGCAAATGGTTTTTTGGAGTCAAATACTAGTTGCCGTGAATCACAGAAGGTAGAAGAAATTCCGACCCTGTGAGGACAAGCTTGTCAATCCAGAAGTTTTCTTCTGGTGGTAAAAACTGGTAACAAGTATCAGGGGATTATATAACTATATTTTGGCTCCCTGTCTCTTCGTTCCCCACCTTGAGTTTGTGAGCGACGGGGTAGTCGCCGGGAAGCACCCAAAGACCATCTCGAGGTTTGAAGAGCAAGGACCAAGAAACATGAGCCTAACCTTCCGCGGTTCTTCATGCTCCTGGTCTCCTTTACCGTAGTTTGACTTGCACCAATCACACAGGTTATCTACTTTTCTTGCCCCGGACGAGAAGATTTTGTGCAATTACCATCTCATCAGTTTCCAAGGTTTGTGCTGCTTCCACACATTCATACTCAGTTTCAGCAATTTAACCAATATTAGATGTGGTTTTCTTCATCGTTCTCCCTTAAAAATGTGATCTTATTGTCTTTGCAGTCAAGTGAAGAGCTAATGGTGGTGGTGGAGGTGGAGCTGCTGGAATATATGGTGCAATCAGGGCAAAAACTCTGGCCCCCAATCTTAAAGTAGTTGTTGTCGAAAAGGGAAAAGCTTTATCCAAGGTTTACTCTTTGTTTGTTTCTTTGCCATTTGGAAATTTTTTTGTTGGTTTGGATGTATTAGTGCATTACCCAGTTTTAAGTGATGACTCCAATGTCTTGGCAGGTTAAGATTTCTGGAGGTGGTCGCTGCAATGTGACTAACGGTCATGGCGTTGACAATATGGTAGGTTTTTTCATTTATAACGCTAATTGAGTGATGTATACTGGTCTAGCTGGGAGTAAATTGTTCCGTGGTACGGGTTTATTGGAGGAAATATTTTTTTTGACGTAAGGATGTTAGCCTAGGCCCTTTTAACTTCTGAATTGGAAAAATTGTGATGAATTCACCAAACTGAAAACTTTGGAGTGGACATCATGTAATGACCCCTTTCATGTGATCTTCAAGAGTATGAACGGATAGGATTTTAGATTCTCTGGTAATTTTTTTTGTTATGTGCTTCTGAATGAGCTAAGAGTTCACTATTTGACTGAAGTTTGTGGTCTTTAGATTAATGTTACTGATATATGGTGCATGGACCCAGTAGATTTTGGCAGAACACTACCCCAGGGGACACAAGGAACTGCGAGGGTCTTTTTTCAAGATGCATAGCCCAATGGACACTATGACTTGGTTTTCTGATCATGGGGTAGAGCTTAAGGTAATACCACAAGCTGCTAGGCTGCTTTTCTTTTACCTTTTGCAAATATCCTTCGTATTCACTATTAAGTTTGACCATTATGCCTCAGACTGAAGATGATGGAAGGGTTTTTCCTGTCAGTAACAGTTCATCTTCTGTAATTGATTGCCTCTTGTCTGAAGCCAAGAGCAGAGGAGGTAGGTTGACTCAACAGTGCAGTTCATTTTTGAAAATATTTGGCATTATAAAAATTTATATATCTTATTGATAAGCTTGGGAAGAAAATTATTGGTTTTTCATATCTTCTGTTTAGCTATTTCTGATGACTTTTTGTTTGATTTGGACGAACTTACCTTGTACTTGATAGCTGAATGTATATACACTTTACCATGTAAAACATGTGAGGACAGTTTGTAAAGGAATTGATGTGGTTATCTTAGAACTCAGAATTGTTGTCTTAGTTAAACTTAAGAGTCTTATTGGAGAGTGCCATGCTCACCTTACATTTTACGAGCACATCAAGCTGATATGTGAGTTTCTCTAACAGTTATACTGCTGACTGGAAAGGTTGTGACAAGTGCTTCCAGTATTGCCAGAGGGAAATTCACTGTCAGGGTAGAGAAACAGACAGCTGATATTGTAGAGTATGTGGAAGCTGAGTATCTTCTAATTGCAAGTGGAAGCAGCCGGCAGGTCAAATCTTTTGGCTGATTCAGTTGTGTTACATCACATGGAATCCCAAGTTTTTTTTGTTGACGAGTACCTGTGATGATGGTCCAGGGTTATAGTCTTGCTGCTCAGCTTGGTCACACTATTGTGGAACCTGTACCGAGCCTATTCACTTTCAAGATTGATGATGTCCAGCTAGCAGAGTTGTCTGGGGTGATTATCTGCTCATGCTTTTATACTTCAATTCTTTTCTCCCTCTAATTAGTGACTTTTGGCATATTGCGAGTCAGTAGATAAAAACTTTGTTGTTCATGCTCAGTGATTGTTACCTGAAGCAAATTAAGTATGACTCATAGAGGATAGACTTTTGAAGTATTGTGAATAAGCAATTGGAGAAAGAAAGGGTATTACACTGAGTGTTGCATGACAATGGTATCAGAGGAATAGTAATTTGTCACTGTCATAATCTGTCTTGTACTGATGTAAGCTCATAGCAGATTTATCTGCTTTCCAATAATGTTATTTTTAAATCTCTATAAATAAAGCATCTATTTTCTGTACTTTCCATGCTTAGGTTACATTCACCAAGGTAAAAGCTAAATTGAAACTAGATACCATGCAGAAGAATGTACCACAGCTTACACAGGCAAGCTCTTGCGGTTATTTTTATTTGTAGATAATGAATCTGCAAGCTAGCATATCAGTAATACTGGCATTTCTAGGTTGGACCAATGTTGGTAACGCATTGGGGGCTTAGTGGTCCAGTGATTCTTCGCCTATCTGCATGGGGAGCCCGTGATCTTTCCAGTTCAAATTATAAAGGTATTAAAATACTTAATTTTCTGTTACCGGTTTCAGATCTTAATATTTTCATCTGTTTAGTGAAGTATCATACCCGTTCAGGCATCCTTGAAGTAGATTTTGCTCCTGATCTTCATGCTGAAGATGTAAAATCTGTTCTCAATCAACACAAGAATCAATTCCCAGTAATAATCTTTCTGACCCTACAACTGTTGCACAGACCCACACTACTCTTTCTTTTACTTTCTTTTCATTATAATGATTAATAATCTCAGCCTGTGTCTTTTGCTAAGACAATGTTGTATCCATTTCTGACTGCTATCACATTTGATGTTTAGTCCAAAAGAATATGAAATCTACATTGTGACTAATCTGCTATTTCTTATGTGCCTCTACGGTTAAGATAAAAGTAAATATCTTAAGCATTTTTTTGCAACTTTTGGCAAGTTACTGCATGGCTGGTATGTTAGTTTTGTCCTCTTTTCCTTTTGTTTCTTTTCAGAAGCAAAAGTTGCTCAGTTCGTGCCTTCTGAATTTGGCCTGGCAAAAAGATTCTGGAAATATATAATAGACCGTAAGGTTGAGTTATGATGCTGTTGGAAGATCAAGTTTTGGCTTCTGCGCTGCGAGTGAATATTATCTGATTGTCACAGAGTTCTGTTCTTGTATGTGAATTACGCAGGGTCTATCTGGAGATATCCTCTGGTCTTCAATCTCTCGCGGCTCATTAACATCAGTTGCTTTTCTCTTAAAACACTGTACCTTTAATGTCATAGGCAAGGTACCTTTCGGCCACTTACCCCTAAAAGATGTATTTTTTCATCAAATAATTTGTCAATGTGGAAGTTAAAAAGAATTATTTACTTATTGTGAAGGGTCAATTTAAGGATGAGTTTGTCACGGCTGGAGGAGTTCCGTTGTCTGAGGTGCTCTCTCTTTGTTGCATCTCCTTTCTTTTTGTTTTTATTTGTGTGATGGGGATCCTCTGGGCCTTTGTCATATGCTCTGTCTAAAAGTCACTGAGCATGTCTGTCATTCGCAGAGTTCACATCCATTCCTTGCTGGGAAGATAGTTTCCTAGGTCTATTTCATTATTTGATGTCTTCTTGCAGATTTACCTGAATACAATGGAAAGCAGGATTCAGTCCAATCTGTTCTTTGCTGGGGAGGTATCTTCCTAGGTCTACTTGATGGGTGTAGATTTGTTTGTCTTTTGCTCTTTTGGAACATCACCTGAAAACTATGCTATTACATCTGAATTGATGTTGAAACTTTCTGTAGGTACTGAATGTTGATGGCGTTACTGGTGGTTTCAATTTCCAGGTAATTGAAAAATATGTTGAGAGCCATTCGTTGATTGTTTAACTGATGTAGGGTAGACTGATGTGATGACAGCTTTGTAGATTTTCAAATGGTAGGATATATTGACAGGAATTTCATCAAAATTTTCAGAATGCCTGGTCTGGTGGATACATTGCGGGGACAAGTGTCGGTAACCTTGCTAATGGCAGTAACCCTAGATACAGAGAGGAGGATGTTGCGTAGAGAAACACAGAATGTGGCATGCTCAAACATGGCAAAAGGTGGTACGAATGCTCAATATTTATGATTCTGCTAATAAATGGTACAGTCCTATTTCCAGATTTTGGTATCAAGAGAGGTATGTGGCAGTTTGTGTTTGCGAAGGTGGTTAGACAGAATTAAGTTGTCATCTTCGGTAAGGGAAAGCTTCATCCAGGAGAACACAACTATATATTCTCGAACAATGTCAGCTCTTCATCAGATGTTGATGCTATTTTCTGGAGAGATATTACCCCATTTCCTCCCGCAATTGGCGGAGCAAAGCATCCAAAACCTCTTTTAGAATGCTGCAGAAAAAGTTCTTGCACGCTACAGACTACTCCATTCGGCCAACAGTTTGAAGTCTGCAGTCTGCACATCAAAGCTTGAACTTCTTCTCCGATTGATGTCACTTGGTGCATGCTTCCAGATGTCAAGGAAATGAAGCTTTTCTGAATACTCAGTTTTCAAATCATGAAAACAATCTGGACAAATTTCACAATGCAGTTTGGGCCCGTCCAAATTAGTCGTCCTCATTGCCGGGAGCAATACTCAAAAAAACTAGAGAGGAAAACTGAGTCAAATTTTCTGAATTCGGAGGTTCTTTGTAGTTTGATTAGTCAAGGAGTTGGTTCCTTTTCAAAAACAGATGCAGCTTTTAGTAGATTAATAGATCATTGATGACATTATATGAATTGGTCCTTTTCAATGTGCTTAAAGAAAAGGAGTCCCATATTTTTCTAAAACAATAATATATATGGCTATGGAAAATTTCAAGAAGAAGAAAGAAGTTACTACTGTATTTTCATACGTAGACAACAATAAATTCAAGGGCTTGTAAAAGTAAAACTTCAACAAGAAAGGGTTGATCAATTGCATTCCCGTTTGTTGAGCTTGGCCAGGCGACCCGGTTACTGGTTCATCCAACCTCACCCACATGTTTTTCACATCACAGCACTGACCATATCCATGTTGTGCCTTTGGATTTTCACAAATGAAGTGATGTTCTGTTACTACTTACTAGCGACCACAGGACACTGAAAAAAGTATTCGTTCAAAGTTTAATTGGAAAGTAATAAGTTGCAACTTTTATCTCGAATATGCTGTCGCCTGGATACTCGCCTGGCATTTCCTTTTATCATTTCTAATCATGGAATTCAGAATCGCTCAACATCAAGTCTCCTTAACGGAACAAAAGTGGGAATCTGGGAAATGACGACAGAGCATGAACAGTACTAAAATTTAAAAGTGGAAATGAATGAAAAATTTGGTATGCCCTTTTACGGCTATAAACAAAAAAGTAAACCTCAGATCTATTTTTTCGTTCCAAAGGTTTATTTCACTCGCGTTTTCTTGGATGTTGATTGTGTTTAATATCCTTTCTAATTTTTATGATAAGCATGTTAAAACTTTGAATTGTTTCCCTTAACATCAAAACCATGGTGTATGAAAGTCGTCACATACACGCCTTTGAGAAATTTATAAATTCCTAACTGATGCAACAAAAACGCTCCATTTGAACTGGTCATTTTTGAAAGACAAGTTTTTCATATACAATGTTACGGTAATACATAAACATAAATAATTTCAAAAACACAAAATATAATCCCAAAAATACAAAAAACAACGTCATGTATAATAAAAAAATTTTCACATACATTACTACAGTAAAGTATTACAAAAATACTCCGAAAAATACACGAGTAACATAGAAAAAGAAAGTTTTTTTTTTAGAATCATGATCAACAAGTAACAGACGACAATTTAGGATCATAGATGTATAGAAGTTTTTTTTTTTTTTTTTTGAGATCTGCCGACTGCTGGATCGCTTGAAAGTATTCAATATCAGCTGAATTGGGGAATAGAAAAAAAAACAACAAAGAGATTTGTTTAAATTTTTTTTTTTTTTGGGTCAATCAAAGAAGTTCAGGATTTGTCTGATGAATACCTAAATAGTAATAGTACCGACCGCAAAAGGATACAGATTGTGGTAGATTATAAAAGCATATCTCCAGCACGACTCAAAGCAAACAGCAGAGCAAAAAGCAAGTAAAAAGGACACCTGACCTTTGATCTCAGCGACGGTCATTGGACGCCGACAATGACACCTCCCCTCCGCAGCCCCTAAGAAAACTAACGATAAAGTTGGCCATAAGAAACAAAAATCCTAATCCGCTTTCCACGTCCCTTCTCCTTTCGAAAATGCATATTCAAGAATCCGAAATCCAATCCCCAGCCCACTCATTAGCCACCCCTCTCTCACAGATACTATACGTCATTAATTAATGGAGCGGGGCCTCACAATCATCAAATACGTCTGACAAATATTCAGCAATTGGTTTTCTTTTCATCTCCTCTGCTTTGGTATTTATTATATATATATATGTATATATATATATTATCCACAGTATACCATTCTTTTTGTCGTATATAAAATACTGAGAAAAGGTCGGTCCACGACGACGAGTTTCAGCTTTTTCCCTCCCCTCCTCTCCGCGCCGTTCATCGTGACTTCCCTTGCCCGTTACAAGAAACTGCAAAACGCCGTCGTCGTACTGTATAATAAGTAGCACGGAACTGTCTTTATTACTATTATTAACTGTTGCACTTATTTTCCGGGGATTCTTGCGTATCTTTGTTGGTGCGTGCTACTAGTTACTACTAATACTACTAGTTCTGGAGATTTTTCCCCCCTTTATTCTGCATTATTTATCTTCTTTTTTTTTTTCCGTTTTTAACCTAACCTCTCTTTCTATATGGGGGTATAAATTACACAGCTCGGTGCTTTTTGGATTTTGTTGAGCAGTAAGAAAAAGGAGACAAAGAATAAGAGAGAGGGAGACTCTGATACTGATAGAGAGCGGCATTGCATTTCCTTTCAGAATCTCTCTAGCGAGAGAGATGGATAAAGGGAGGGAGAGGGAGAGAGAGATGGAGGAGGAAGAGGGAGACATTGGAAGGAAGATTAAGATTGGAGTGTGTGTAATGGAAAAGAAGGTGAAATGCGGCTCCGAGGTTCTGTACTTTTTTAGGCTCAATTTCCGTATCTTTTCCAAACAACCACCACCACCATACTAGATTACTCTTCCTTTTTTTTTTTTCCTATTTTATTTAAATACAAAATCTACATTTTTTTTTGTTGGTTATGTCAAAGCAGTGATGTGATGTAGACAAATCACGAATGCATATAATTTTTGTGTCATTTTCAGGCTTTTTCAGGTCCGATGCTCCAAATTTTGGATAGGCTACAGGCATTCGGTGAATTTGAGGTCTCTATCATTTTATTCATGAGTTTTTAATTTATAAACTAAAAATGATAGTTGCATTGAATTGAATTTTTGCTCGATTCCGCACAATAGATTCAATGCACAGTAATTAGAATGTGCGCTTATCTTCTATTCCTAAATTGACCGTCACAATGTATCACAATTTATTTATTTATTTTTAAAATTGATCGGTCACAATGTCTCACAAGTTGCTGTTTGGAACATATACGGTTCTATCTAAAGCACCGTTCTTTTGCTCTTGTAGATTGTTCATTTTGGGGACAAGGTTATTCTCGAGGACCCCGTAGAGAGGTATTTTCACACAGATTATTGTACTGTAATCTCGTAGAGGAATGCTTATATATATATACACACTCGAGTAGGGCTTTGTTTTTGTCAAATTAAAAGCCACTTACTAACCCTTACCTCTGGACCAAATCAAAATCATTGTGGTTTTGTTTAACTTGAACATAAAGAAACGGTTTTTGATTGGACAATTTTTGGTTGAAAATGTTTTTCGTGATTTTTATTTTTAGTCTACTTGAAGATTATATTTTAGTTAGTTCTCTCAGTTTCTGAACAATTGCAGATGGCCAATATGTGATTGTTTGATTGCCTTCTACTCCTCTGGGTACCCCTGCAAAAAGCTGAAGCATATTCTGCATTGAGAAAGTATGTAATTTGAAGCCTTTTTATGCGTTACCATCTCCTGTTGTGTATTCTAATACAACCAAATATGATATATGGAGTTATATGACGATGGAGGAGTAAGATTGTCGTTTTGTGAATTCTTATTTTAAAATTTCAAAGATTCTGGTTGATTAATGATGTCCTATTCCTCCATTGGTAGCAAATAATGTGGAAAGGTTAAAAAAACAAACTTTTAGATCAGCATGCAAAAAGTGTATGTGTGTGTGAATAGTGATAAATACTAGGTCCCCCTTTTATGAGTTTGATTGTTCAAGAGTATTACTGATGATTATATGATGTTCAGGTCAAAGTCTTATTCACTGATCTTTTCATCTGTTTCTGTTCTGTGGATTTTGCTCATGGCTACTATATCTGTCCCCCAAACCTCTGTTGAAGCTCATCAATCACTTGTGCTTCTCTATATTACCTGCATGGTTATGTTCAAATATAGTAGTTTTGCCTAGGCATATTGGAGGATCTGAGCCAGTTAAACTAGTACATATAACACGTTTGCCACATGGTTACATCAGTGACAATGAAAATTTCCGGTAACTTAGTGTTTACTCTGGCCATTTCCATGGTGTAACATTTACTCTCTAGTTTGGTGTCTTCTCATGTGTACGGTTACTGTCATCCCTATTGCATTTATGCCTAATGGATGTTTATGCATGCCATACAGTATTTGATTTTTTGTCTGAAATTCACTGTTTCCAAATAATTGCTTTTTCCGTTTAGATCTCTGTAATATCCCTGAAAAAGAGGAGCTTTTCTTTTGTTTGGTGGTTTTTTTTTTTCCTGAGGGGGTGGGGGAGAGGGTGAGGTGCTGGAAATGAAGGCTTCTGCTAGTATTCAACTTGCTTTTCCCTACCACAAGGTACTTCCTCTGGAGAGCATGTGATGTTGGAATTGGGAGAGAAGAAAAAGGGTTTGCATTGTTAATATATCTTTCTCTTGCAGTAGAATCATCCTCTGTGAATTTTGCTTATAGTACTCCCATCTCACTGAGAGTTTCTGTTTCCTTTTTGGGTACTCAATTTCTGGTACCTTTTGCTGTTGTCAAGGGGAGAGGTGATTTTGTTTGATTGCTTTTTTCTCCCCTTTTAGTCTTTACAAAAACTTTGGAACACTGCAATTTGCTTTTTCAGCAATTTGAAATCAAAATTTTTTTTGTGCTTCTTGATTTCTTTAGGCCCTTTCTCGTAAATGAATTGGAAGCACAACACCTTCTTCATGATAGAAGAAAAGTATATGAGGTAGGTGCCTTTCATATCTTTCATGTTTTTCTTGAATAATGCCTTACCAAATCTAAAATTGCTGGCAACTTGTCTATTCCTGATTCGGTTAGGGGTTTTAGAATGACAAAATTACGTGATTTTGATTTTTGCCACTGGTAAATGGTTTCTTTTGTTGTTTAACACCATGGTCCGTGGATGAGGCTTTTACGCTTTAGATAAGAAATCAGTGATCAACGTTTTTTGTGGTGATTGTCGCTTATGATTCACTGTATAAAATCAGCACCAAGGCATGGTCATGCATGCTTGGAGTTTTGAGACAGATTGTTAATATATCAACTCTCATTTTATCAGCTAGTTATCGTTTGTCTCTCAATTATTCAACTCTCAGCTTATGCCAAATTTGTCATTGTTTTTTTCATTTTCCCTATGCTTTAGAAAATATGTGAAGAACTCATTTGTGGCCTATCAGCAATCATGTGACTTGTATCGTTTTTCTGAATGTGAAGAACCTTCTGTTGCTTGGCAGAAGATTCTGGCCTTGTTGCTAACAACTTGTTTAGTTTGTCATCTCTTTCTATTCTCTAAAACATCTGGGACCTTCGTTGTATTAA